GAGTTCAAAAATTGGCATTACCTCTTACAATATTAAGTATTCACTAAATCATTCAGCAAATATGATTACTATGCCATTGAATATGAATATATTAATTTTCCCTGCGAAAGTATTCCAAAACTCCCAAAGCTGTATTTGAATGCATTCAAATATGAATACCCCATGTCTGCTGTCCTCTGCCTTTTGTTTTGCTTCTTTCTACCCTCTCCCTGGCTGCTCACTTCTGTTGCCCATTGGAGGAGATCATCCAGGTTGATATGTGGAAAATAAATGTTTTATAGAACAAGATGAGGTAGGCTTTTTGTTTCGTTTTCATGTATAGTCCTTTACTCCCTGCTAATAAAATAAACTACCTTAGATGTTTGATAACATAAATAAAAAAATGAGGTAGGGCTTGTTAAATCATTTTGCACTTGATTATATGAAGTTTTGTTTTGCCGACAAGGCCATTGTGTTAGCCTTTGTTTGCAGTTGACCATATTGGCCTAAGTGACTGCTTGAATAAGCAAAGAAAATGGCCACAAAAAATGTAAAAAGCTATATATGTATATGAATATAAAACAAGGATAAAACTGATTACATATATATTAACAATTTAAAAAAGTTGGCTTGACTATAATTTTAGTATGATGAAATAGTTATTTTTATTGTATGCCAGTAAAGCTGCATGCATACTTTGTTTTTTGAATCAAACACAGATAACATTTACAGTTTTATAAAGTAAAAACTTTATTTGAAACTTAAAAAGATGTAGATAGATATAAAAATCAGTAATTAAAATCTAGATCAAGGGTAAGCATTTTAACTGTTCCTTAAAAACATATCACAATGAAAGCTTTTTGAAATTTCAAAGCTGCACAGTCATAAAAAAATCACAAAAATAAGATATTTGCATAAAGTAATTCTGAAACTATATTTCACCTAATAAGGATTTTTATATTGCAATAAAAAAACCATACAACAGATCAATGCATGCAGGTCTCATATAGTTAATACTTAGCAATAATTATATGTATATATATACATATATATATATATATATATATATAT